TTGCCAAAACGGAATGCTTAGTTGCCATTTTTGTGCCAGACCATTCGAAAACCATATTTTTCAATACAACCTTTTGATTCCTGAAATTAATTCTGATTGTGCAGATAAAATACAACAGAATTCTACAGGATGTGTTGCTAGTGTGTGAAAACAGTCAAGATCCAAGGATCCCAAGGCATGACACCTCCAGATAGTGGGGACATCAAGCGCCATCCTGGCACCCAGGCATCTTCACTTGGTTGCAAGTGGCTGATAGCCAGGTGCAAAATGCACCTAGCACCTGGCGAATTTCAAACGCTGCTTCTGGGGGAAGGGGGCAGCATGGGTTTGTACCTTCCCATCTTGCCTCAGGCAGTGAACAGACTCAGCCATGCCTGGCTGTAATGTTCCACCTTCTTTTTTTAAAAAGAGCTCTGTTCTCAAGGTTGTTTTGTAATGGATTAATTAGAAACTCTGAGGAATTGTTGAATTATATAGTGATATATGTAAAACAGAAAAAATTAGGAAACATGCACACACACACACACACACACACACACACACACACACGCCATATCTGAGATGTAGCTCCAAAACCATATGTGATCCTCACATATTCAGGTGTGATTCCTGGAATATGAGTAGTTAATAAGAGAATTGAAATACTAAATTCCTTCGTTGACCTTGTGCGCTAGAGATGTGCTAGGGATGTTGTTCTTCCAACTGGCCATTAAGACCTAGATCTCTTTGTCTTATTTGCATGCTGTGTGTAAATAGAGTGAATGTTATTTGTGTGGCATGTCAGCTTGTTGCTCAAAGGGGGGCGGGGAGCCAAACTTTGCAAAGGATATGCCTTGGAGTTCTTTGGGAAAAGGAGATAGTGATCTCAATGGAACTTTAAGAGTAGGAGACAAGGAGACATACTAGTTATGTCTGAATAAAAATTAGTTTTCTCTTAACAGAAAAGCTAAATTCATAGGCAGACAGGCAAGTCAACATTGTGGAAAAATAAAAAAATAGGATCATTACCATTCATGCTAGTGGTACCATCACCATGAGAAGGGCAGTCATCATAGTGGAACCCTGGGCTGCCTTGGGATGAAGGGTGGGGAATTAATTAATTTCCTGTATTTAATTGTTTTCTGAATTGACCAGTAATATGTAAATCCTCTTCAATACAAGCAAGGTTTCAAAATGACAAGGCTGCCCTAATTCCACATTGTGCCATTTGGTTTAAGAAGTGCATTAAATGTAAGTTAAACATGCATTAAAGGGAAGTAAGCTATCCACGCAGGCAACACCTAAGCACACAATTCCAGATTCTAACAACCTTTCTTTTTTCTTTTTAACATGAAAAACAAAAGTTCAGGCCAGATGTCCCCAATCTATTTTTGGCTGGTGGGAGTTTTTTTCATTTTTTTTCATGAGGTCATGGCTGATAACAAAGAACGGCTGATAACTGAAACTATTTTTTCCTGTGTTGGGAGATTATTAAGAAGAAACACAAAAAAAGGGCAAAATCTCCAAGGACAAGAACCTGATACAAAGTCATCATTCCATGTGAAACCAGATAGCATGCGATGCTGTGCTTCCGGCACTCAGCCTCTCGCTTGTTTATACAGGTGTCTGTGGAGGAATGTGGGCACTTCAGCTGAACCAATGGAAGCTGATAAGCTAATGGCCCTCTCTCTCCCTTTCTTGAGACTGAAGCATCTCTATCAACCTTCATCTGTTTAAATCTGCAGCTATCGTCCTCATCCCCCCCCCAACCCCATGTGTGTTATCAACCCTGGAAAATAAGGTTTGTAACTATTCTTGGAATGCCCTGCATTACCACTTCTGGATTAAAACTCTTCTCCCTTTTATGGGGAGCTGCTTTTTTCTCATTGACACTGCTTCGCACCCCCCACCCTACCCCCCAAAAAGCGGGGAGGAATCAGCAATATACATCACACAACTGTTTATATTTAACTGACCTTATTTCATTAAATACACTTTCCAGGTACATTTTCAGATGTTTTTAATGAATAACTAAATTATTTTAGCAACTGAGCCCTTATTTAAACCAAAGGCTTTCAAAATACGTCTTTTTTAAAAAACTAGGTAGTTGGAGGCTGTACGTAGTGTCGCACAGAGCAAGATAAAGAGTGTGAGTTGGAAGACACGATAGAAGTTGTCATGAGGTTGCCCTGTAGACCATTTTGCACCATTAAGCTGGCATTAATTTATCCTCCTTAACAGATGGTCACTGTTCATATTTTTCAAGGAGTTGTATTCCGCTTGTCCTAATGCATCTCAGTAAATCCGTGACTGAGCAGGCATGTAACCCTGGGCTCTTCCACACCTAAGAGCAACTTTTTTTGTCTTTTATCAAACAAGAGAATCTGCTGGGAAGAAACAATAATATATGAACTTCCATTTTGTTTGGCTGCTCTGTGTGTGGTCCACCTAGAAGTACTGAGAAGGCATAATCAGTCTGCATATTGGCACTGCTGATCTTGAAATTTAACCCTGTTGTACTTTCAACTGAGCACTGAGGACAACCTATTAAAAGTTAATATTTAGTTCTAATGCAGTTTCTTTCAGAACAAATACTTGTAGGGGGGGCTGTAGCATTATACAAAAATGCTGATTAAAATTTACTTTAAAGGCTTACTCTTGTATGGATTTTCTTCTTCAGTAGGGGTAGACATATATGTGGAATTTGAAGCCAAAAAAAGGACATTGATAGCTATGTGTGTTGACTGCTTTCTTCCTCCAACATCCTTCCTGAACAGTTCAGTTTGGGACATGATAATTCAACACAGGATGTTGTTGGGAAGGCTTTGGGCAGCAATCCTATGGAGATATACAGAAGGCATTACATATGCTTAGCTTGTAGAAGACTACAGGAAATATGTTGACAATTTTTGGCAGAGGAAAAAACCACATTTCTTAACCTTTCTCTTGTGGACAGGATGATTTTTTATTTTTTATTTAAATACAGAATGGTTTAAACATTAGCTAGGCAAGCTCAGTTACTAGAGCATGAAACTCTTGATGTGAAGGTCATGGGTTCGAGTGAAATATTCCTGCGTTGCAGGGGGTTTGACTAAATGACCCCCATGGCCCCTTCCAAATCTACACAAGTCAAAACAATTGTGTGAGGGAGGTGAAAATTCTGAATGTACAGCTAAATCAAAGGAGCAGGAACCGATTTCTGTATGATAGGCTTTTGTCTGACACTACCGCTTCACGTTTTCAAGCAAACCTGCTGAAACTCCACATTCTGTTGTAAATCAAAATGGGTTCCAGTTCTTTCTTTCCTGTTTTCCCTCTTTGCCATCACGTGTTCTCTCTGTGTGTATTTGGTAAATATGAAGAAATAGAAAAATATTTTCCCTTTCCTGAGACATTTATATTTTTCTTTAAAGCCCCCCCCCCCCCCGCAGTTGTGCAATAGTTTTCATGAAGGTGTTTGGCAACAGAGAAATCTTCTCTTTCCTTTTGGGCAAAGTGTACATTATAAACAGTAATCTGATATGGCAAAGGATATACATGCCTGGAGTAGAAAATAATCAGAAGCAATAGAAAAATGCAATGAGTTGAAACAGGGCAAGAAATAGTAGGTAATGGGTGAATATGTCCATTGCATTCCTTCCTTGCAATGAAGATTTCCTCAGAGATTTGATAACTTAAATGATTTCATTGTTAATTCAAGGAGACTGCATTTCTTCCCACAAAGTATGCTTGCATTTGGACTTTCCAACATCCAGCCTAATCTTTTGTAAATCTTTTAAAATCAACATTTCTTTAAAAGCCATCAGCCTTTTTTTAATTTATTTAAAATGCATTTTAGCCCTTAAAAAATAATTGTTGCCCCACTTCTCTTTATTTAGTAGCAGAGGGGGGGGGAATGCTTTTGAGGCCAGGGAATGCTTATTTGTACCCTTGCGTTGGGCTTTGTACTTGAGCAGATGCCTGTAGGGTATGTGATATGTGGAATGTGTTGTGTCCCCACCCCCTGCTGAAAGGAAAAGGCTTGGAGGGGGGTAACTGAACCCTCTGCAATCAGTGTGCTGCCAACCTGAAAGGAAAAAACAAAACAAATAGCCTCTCCTGGGGAAACAATGAAGATTCCTTGCAGGCCTGATTCTTGTTAGAGAAACTCTTGTCTTAAAGACTGGGCGGTTTGATTCTTGACATAGAGAAAGCCTGCCTCTGCTGGTAATTGTTTTGCCCTTCCAGCAGCAGTTGCGCTTTGCCATGGGTTGAGGCGATCAACCGTGTGTTATTTTGTGTGTGTTATGTTTGTGGGTTGAATTCCGAGCTCCTGATCCTCTTTAAGACTTTGGAAGGACAAAACAATATGAAACTTCTGCTTCTCCTCCCCCCCCCCCACCTCTGGAGGATGTTTGCAGTTCCCATTTCCTCCAGTATTTTTCAGATGTGTTTTTCATTATTTGCATAGTACACCTGGTCACACCCTTGTACTTAAGGAATTCTTTATAAAGAAGTAATCTAGAACAGAAAATTTCAGTTTAGCAGTTTTGCACAAATTTCATTAATTTGTGTTCCAAGTGGCCTGAATTCCAAGTTCTCCTTTGGCCTTTAAAACCTGAAAGGTTTGTAAACAAGTTACCTTGAGGACTCCCTTTCTCCCATAAGAGCCTGCCTTATTGCTGTCCAAGAAACAGTGCCTACCTGAGAACAGGGTCTTCACAGTGGTGGCACTTGAACTGCAAGTTCCTTCCAAAGGAGACTTCTTTGATTTCCTCACTATTAGAAGTTAGGCAGCATTTCAAAAAGTTGCTGCTTTGGGGTCAAATTGAATTTGTTGTTTTGTTCAATGCTTTGGCTGCCCCTTGTCATTTCCTTGGCTTTTATACACAAGTTTTACGGTTTTATTCTGTTTTTAATTTCTTGGTTTGTGACGCTGTTAGCCCTGTTATCAGTCCCAATGGGGTAGAGAGGTGAAATATAAACAATTTTAGAGCAAGCAGCTTGTCTCTTTTAACTTCAAACTTATTTTTATTTTTCAGATCGAAGAAGGCAGCAAAGCTGCAGCTGCCGATAAGCTACTGGCTGGGGATGAAATTGTCAGCATCAATGACGTGGACCTCTCTGGGTTCAGGCAAGAAGCCATCTGCCTGGTGAAAGGTTCGCACAAGTCGCTAAAGCTCGTAGTGAAAAGGTAAGGTTTGTGGTTCACCATGACAGAGACTAAAGTTCGTTCTTGATATGATCAACTTGCTGGCTGAGAACTAGACACAAGTCTCTCCTTTTCACTTTTCAGAACCTCATCTGAGTTAATTGGGTTTGGTTTTCCCCAAAAAATAACTTCACATGGTATATTATTGTGTGTTGTTGAATGGTTAATTCCCATTCAGTTTTAACTAGGACCGATGGTCTGGAGAAACTGAATGTTTTTCAGGTTTCTGTTAGCACTTCTTAGCCCAAGTAATCTATGAAATAAAATGCTGCCTTGTGCATATTTTAAATCACCTCAGCTCATGTTGAGGCAGCCCCTTGGAAGCACTCACGATGCATAGGATTCGGATTTGGGCATACCTCTGTAAACATCCTCTGGTTTAAAAGAAGTGATATACAAGTAACCATGCTGCACAAATCCTTTTCAGGCTTCTCAGAACTGCCTTGTTGTAGGGTGACATGGCAAGCCATCAGCAAAGGCTAGTTTATTCTCAGTGTTCCCACAAGCTCACATAGTCACATGAAGAGATTCTGAGTAGCATGGAAAAAACACTTGCCAATTACTAAAGAAGGCTGTGGAGTCTACAGAGCCCATCTAAGCAACAGACCTCAACCTTACAGCCTCTGGCTCACGTTCTGTATTAGGTCCTATTTCACCATGCGCCTGCTCTTAAGCCTTCAGTCGATCCTTACCTTTGTCCCACGTGGCTTCACACTTTGTTCACTGTTGGCCATGCTGACTGGGGCTGATAGAATTCAACAATATCTTGAGCACGCTGTGTAAGCTGCCTCTGCTTAAGATACAATCTGTGGGGCTAAATTAAGAGGTTATTGAATAACTGCAAGGTGCTCTCCACTACTGGTGCCGGATCTCAATGAAAATACGATAAAGTTATACCTTGGATCCCGAACGCCTTGCGAGTCAAACGTTTTGGCTCCCGAACGCCAAAAACCCGGAAGTGAGTGTTCCGGTTTGCGAACGTTCTTTGGAACCCGAATGTCCGATGCAGCTTCCGCAGCTTCCAATTGACTGCAGGAGCCTTGGTTTCCGAACGGTTTGGAAGTCGAACGGACTTCCGGAACGGATTCCATTTTACTTCCAAGGTACCACTGTATATGCATTTTCTTCAGAGAACTGTAATAACTATGCAACAACTATTTTTTTGCAAAACATAGTTGGATAAGAGAAGTTGGGAAAGGTCCCTGACAGGGTAGATTTAAATCACGATTTAAATCACTAATCAGTAAGACTTGATTTAATTTTTACAGAAGGACTCATTCTTGCTGGTATAATCTTAATATTTACAACCAGATGAACGTTTCATTTTTGGAATAATAAATTTTCAGAGTCGTTTTTACAGTTATATCAAAAATTACTGATTTGGTTATACTATTAGAAATACATAGACAGATAATTGTGAAATTATTGTGAAGTTTAGTAAGTTAACTGTTTATATTTGGTCAGCTTTTCTGCTGTATGTACTTTATTAGAAGGAGAAAAATAATCATTTCCTTAATGACAATTTAAACTATTTAACTAAAGCAATAACTTTATAGCATATGTATCCCTGTTTGTTAACTGACATGCTTAAACTTTAAAAAAAACAAACCAACCAACAACTTAGACTGAGTTTTAGCACACATGAAAAATTTAAAACAAATCCTTATTGCCTGATAAATAGCTTTTGGACTATAATGTAACCTAAATAGAAAACTATCTTTAGGAAGATTTTTCTTCCAAAAGCATTTTATTTTAAAAATCCAATTTAAATTTTAAAAAATCCAATTTAAATTTTAAAAAATCCAATTTAATTTTTTTTAAAAATCTGATTTTTTAAAATCATTGATTTTTATCCACCCTGGTCTCTGATACTGTAACCTGATGATAACTATTTAATGCCAACAATTGTACAATATAAACAATACGGTGGCTGCATTTTCACTTAACACTAAACCAGGGATGAAGAACCTTTTTCTGATTTGTAATGTGATTGAAAGTCATTCATTTCTGACATAACTGTGTGACACACACACACACACACACACACACACGGCAGAAGCCTGCCCATTTGTTCTCAGGAAGTTGGGGAAATAACTTCTTTTCACCAAGCATCAAAACAAGAAAAAAAAAGTTAGAAGTAAAATAGAAAGTGGGAGAAAACACCTTTAAACCATGAAGAATAAGGAAGAAATGAAGGGGAAGAATTCTGGTGGGGTGGGGAAATGGAGAATCCTCATGAAGTTGCCCACCTATGCACTAAAATATAATTTAGCATTATATGGATGAGCAGCCACAGACTGATGCAAAGCACTGGTCTTGTTCACATACCTGTCCTTTTCTAAGACTTCTGCCAAGTTTAATTTTCCTTTCAAATAATCTTAGTGTTAAGGTCATGATTGAATACAAACAATGATGCTGAACAAGCCAACTTCAAACCATGGGCTATGAAATTGGCTTGTTTTAGCTAACTGTAGTTTACTTCATCTGGGTTCATAGAAGCTCATCTACGTACTACCAAACCTCGGTTTAGTGTTGCATGTGATCCGGGCAAAAGGGTCTTACAAGCTTTTGATATGTATAAGATATATGTCCAATATACGGTAGTTATTTTTGTATTACCTGATATGTGTTGGCATTTGGCCCCCTTAGAGAATATATCAACTACAGTGGTACCTTGGTTCTTGAACGTAATCCGTTCCAGAAGTCTGTTCAACTTTTGAAATGTTCAAAGACCAAGGTACAGCTTCCGATTGGCACAGGCGCCCTGGAAACAACAGCCAACAACCACATTGGACATTCGGCTTCTGAAAAAGGTTTGAAAACCAGAACACTTACTTCCAAGTTTTCGGTGTTTGGGAGCCGAAATGTTTGAGTACCAAGGCGCTCATGAACCAAGGTTCCACTGTATTTAGACTAATCCCCCCCGAGCATCTTTAAAAGACTCACATCTTCATAACAGTACTTTAGTTTTCAAGCATCTTTAATTTCTCACTTCAGAAAATTGCACAACACGGAGGTGCAAACCAGGAACCTTTACATCACAGAACTGACTACTTTTATGCTGCTTAGCTATCCAGTTTGACTAGCTTAATGTTAAGATGGATATTGTTCTGGGTGCATATCAGTAATGCTTAATTGGTGTGCTATGCTCATTTATCCTCAGTCACCATCTGTAACAAAAAATAATGGCAGAAATGAAAGAGATCACTGAGATTCCTAGAGACAACGACCTGCTTATTCCTCATGTTTGCTCTGGGAGAAAATATTACAACAGTTGTTAATAATTCTTTAAAAATAGTTTTGGTATGGATTGGCGCACAAAATAAAGAAAGCAGATGGCACTATAACCCAGATAATATGAATAGTTTCAGGGAGTTCTACCAAAAGTTATATAGCCCAGGAACCAATAAATTATATCAAAACCCCATCTGGAATATATTATAATTCATATCTACTTGATCTTACATTGGCTTCTACTTTGGGCAGGGAGGAAAGAACATTTAATACACAATCTATGTTCTAAGCAATGGAGCAATCTTCATGATCTGTTTATTTGGAGCCCTTTAAATTTTCAGACATTCCACAACATAACTCATTGCTTAGCAAACTATCAGCTTTAAGGTAGCTGCCCTTTAGGTTTCCAGACAGTTCTCTCCTTTAGATATGCAGACGTTCATAACTTAGGAAAGTTAGTCATGTTTGGATATTCTACATAAATCTGCTTCTGGGCACTGGGTTAATGCTTCTCACTAGCAAAATATTCTAGGCCTATTCTCCATTTACTGTGGCAGTGAAGATGTCAAAATCCATGTGGGGAATATTAGAAAAGGGGTTTAAAATAAAACTGCCAGTATAATAATGTAGACTACTCTTGTGCTCAGGTCTTGCTTATGTGTTTCCCACAGGCATCTGATTGGCCTTTGGCCTGATCCTGCAGTCTCTTCTTCTGTACATATGAACCATGATAGTTGCTTCGCCAAACACATAATCACTTGCTGCTGCTATCATGGATGTGTGAACCCATTCTTAGTGCTGTACATTACAAGGGATGTTTAGGCACAGTGAAGTGATAAGTTTCCCACACTCCTTGGTCTAAAATCTTTGCATCCTAAATGTACTTTTCTCTGCTCGGTTTGTTGTTGAAACAACAAATGCTAGTCACATGCAGTATATAATAATTTATCACTAAGGTCACAGTGTTCTATCTCTGTCCAGCTGTATCGCACTGAAAATGGTCTGCCCCATTAACTTGTGATGGAATGCTAGTCTTTTCCTAGTAGTTGGCTGTTCTTTGACCATGTCTCTGGGTGTCAAGCCACAGCTGGATGCTTTCTACCCCTTTGCAACACTCTTCATTTAGTTAACAGTCGTCCACAACTTGGAGTAACCGGAGAAATAACTCAGACCTTCTGGAAAAGGAACTAGAATTCAGTTTGTAAGGAGTTACATGTGTGTTTAGCGACTTGCAAGAGCTGAAGCAGCTTTTTGTTTGTTAAATGAAAGTTTTGTTCATCACATTGTCCCTGTGCCCATCTCTCCTCCCTTCTCCCTGTTCTTTTCTTCTCTTTCTGTCAGTAGCCTGGTTCACACTTCATAAGCCATAGTCTGAAACAAACTTATGCCGTACTGTGAACAAGCTGTGTGCTATTGCATGTTGCTCAAATCATGCCTGCCCCACTCCATCCTTTCCTAAGCTGGAAAGGAAGAACCCCTGGAACCAGCACTCGTGGTTTGTTACTCTCCTAACAAACTGATATGCTCCTTCTTCATGATAAGCCATTTCAGACTGTGGTTTACTGTGACATGTGAACAGGACAAATATGTAGACAATTAAGAATCAGGTTAAAAAAACAACACCCAAGCAGAAAAAGCACTTGAGGAACTGCATTTTTCAATTCTTCCCTTTATGAAAAAATACTTGTGGGAAAGCTAAACTAAAGTTCCCGGAGCCTTAATTTCTGGTTTTCCCTGTCTCTGTCACA